GAGCCCCGTTCAGGCCTCCATCCCCACTCGGGCTCCGACTCCGGCGCAAACCTCGAGCCCCGTTCAGGCCTCCATCCCCACTCGGGCTCCGACTCTGGTGCGAAACTTGACTCCTGTTCGGGCCTCGACCCTGATCCGGACTCTGACTCCGGTCCAGACCTCGACCCCGATCCGGACTCCGACCCCGGTCCAGACCTCGACCCCGATCCGGACTCCAACCCCGGTCCAGACCTCGACCCCGATCCGGACCCCGACCCCGATCCGGACCCCGACCCCGGTCCGGACCTCGATCCCAGCCCGGACTCCAACTCTGGTGCGAACCTCGACCCCTGTTCGGGCCTCGGCTCCAGTCCAGGCTCCGACTCCGGTCCAGTTCCCTACACCGGCCCCAGCATCAGCATGGGTCCCCGCCGCGGTCCCCGCTGTGGAGCCCTTCCCGACCCCGCTGCCACCTTTGCGTTCACTCCCAGAGCCTGCTCCAAAGCCAGCTTTGTCTCCTGAGAAGGAGGATCCTAAGCGGAGCCCAAAGCCGGAGGCGCTGGTCGGCACCGTAGCCGGATGGGACCTGGAGCCCCTTGCGGCCCTCACCCCGCCCGCCACCGACAACCTGGGGGTCTCCCCGGAGGCCACCCCGAGGGCAGACCCACTGGCCCCCAAGCTGACGGGTGCCCCCACTCCTGGGCCTATTGTGCCATTTGTACCCGTTTCTACCAGTGTATTCGCCTCCACCAGCGAGAGCTTCAGCGTGGACAACAGAATCTTGATTCGAGTGACTTACTGGTGAGGCCGCCCCCTCTGGATGTGGAGGTTGGGGTCGGGGTCGGGTGAAGGGAAGAGCCTGAAGAACCTAGAGGTCCTACTTCCGGGTTGGAAACTTAGCTCTACCAATTCTTCTCTTTGGGGTAGGAGAGCTCTGGGGTTTAAATCCCTGCTCATTCACTCCCATCCATCCATCCATTCATTCCTATGATTCTTGGCTCTGAGCTTCATTCATTCATCCATTTGTGGTCCCAAGCTTCATTCTTCACTCTTTTTGTTTGTTTTTGTTTTTCTTCCCGTTTCAGGAATCGAACTCACGACCTTGCGCTTACCAGGCAAATGCTTTGCCGCTGAGCTAAATCCCCATCCCCCATTCTTCACTCTTATTCCTTCATTCATTTGTGAATGTCCCGCCTTTAGGGTTCTCTGAGAGAACTGTGGGTGCAAAGGCCCTGAGGCAGGGCCACTTCGGGTGCTGGAGGCCTCTGTGGCTGGGTGGGGGGAGGAGGTGGGGAGTGTGGGGGCTGTGGCAGAGGACAGGGGGCAGATCACAGGGGCATGGGGACCCCCACTCCCGTGGTTCTAGTGGAAGCTTCTGACAGGGGAGGGATGTGATCTGACCGGGCCTTACTACATCCCCTGGGCTCGGGAGAGTACTGACGTGCTATCTTTCCTTCTCCTCCCCCCTGCCCTTGGCCTTCAGTGGTATGTGAAGCTATGGCCTTCGGGTGAGTAGTTCTGGCTGTGGAGGGGAGTTCATGTGGTTGTGAAGACCGGGAAGAGTTCCCGTCCCCCGCCCCGTGAACCCCTACGATTCCGTGGTCCCATCTCTTGCCCTCAGTACATTCAACTGAAAAGGAGTCTGGAGCAGCAGTTTCCAAAGCTTCTGTACTTTGTAAGTGGCGGGTGGTCTGGGGCCTGGGGCTGGTCAGGGCTCTGAGACGCCAGGCTTTGCATGAGAGCGCTCAGCCCCCCTCCACCCACAACGTTTCCCCCTCAGGAGGATGAAAGAGCAGACCAGGCTACGGGGGAGTTCGAAGTGTTCGTGGAGGGGAAACTGGTCCATTCAAAGAAGGTGACTGTGAGCAGGACTGAGGTGGACGGAAGGCGGGGCTGAACGCGGGCGGTGGAAACATGGCAGGATCTTTCCGTGTCCAGCGAGGCGACGGCTTTGTGGATGAGGGCAGGCTGCAGACGATTGTGAATGCTATCAACGAGGAGATCAAAAGAAGGTAGCCGGCGGTGGAGGGGCTAAGGTGAGTGAGGCGCTGTGGATGGGCAGGGGCGGGAGGTGGGCGTCTGGGGTTGGGGCCAAGGGCAGGCAAGCCAGTCTGGGTCCTTCTCCAAGTTCAGCCCGTCCTCACTGCTTGAATCCTGACGAGTCACCTACACTCTTTCTCAGCCTCAGTTTCCTTGGGCCTGCAAAATGGGATCACTGAGACAATTCCTTAACAGGTAGTAAAGAGTGCATGGCTCATACTAGGCCTCACTGTTTCTCAAAAGAGCTTTGTTTTCGAAGACAGGGTCTTGCTATGTAGCACAGGCTGGCCTTGAACTTGCAGTGATCCTCCTGCCTCAGCCTCCCGAATACTGGGATTACGGGTGTGTGCCATCATGCCTGGCCTCAAAAGAGCTTTAAAATCTTATTTTTAGCTTTTAGTTGTAAAGTGGTAACTTGTAAATTTAAGATTACACGAATTAAAATGAAGTACAAGGACTGGGGATATAGCTCAGCAGCACAAGCGTCTGTCTGGCAAGTGCAAGGTCCTGAGTTCTACCCCCAGTACCTAAAATAAAATAGAGTACATTCTAAATTCAGTTCTTAGTTGTACTAGCCACTTTCCAAGTGCTTCACAGCCTCATGTGGCCAGCGTGCTGGGCTGACCTGCATGGAATCCATCATGGCCAAAAGCACTATTAGTAACATTGATCTCAGGTATTCAGTGGTGTGCATAATAGTTTATCTACCATCAATATGGGATTTTTTTTTTTTTTTTTTTTTTGGTAGTGCTGGATATTGAACCTAGGGTCTTATGCATGCTAAGCAACTGCTCTATCACTGAGCCTGATTCTGGATTTTTTAAAACTAAATTTTTTATTACTCCCGATTAATTTTACAAAATACTGGATGTAGTGAGTGGTGGGTGTAGTGAGTGGTGCATGCCAGTAATTCCATCATCACTCTGGAGGATAAATCACATTTGAGGCCAGCCCGGGCTACATAATAAGCTCAAGACCAGCCTTGAACATAGGGAGACCCTGTCTTTAAAAAGCAAAGCAAAGCGAAGCAAAGCAAAACAAAACAAAACAAAACGTCCCCCCACAAGCCCAAACAAACCAGTGTGGTATAGTGGTGCCTCAGTGTGCGAAATTAATTCTTTCCATGATTCTGGTCGCAGACCAAATTGGACAAGAACTGTATCAAGTTCAATGGTTAGGTTTCATAAAAGAACATAACACATTTTGCTGATCCCCATTTTTCTGATTTTTTTTTTTTTTGAGATAGTGTCTCTCTATTTAGTTCAGTCTCACTTTGAACTCACTATGTAGCACATGCTACCCTTGAACTCATGGCGATCCTACTGCCTCAGCCTCCTGATTGCAGAGATTACAAGCATGGGCCACCATACCCAGTTGGATCATGGACTTTTTTTATTTTGAAGAGAAAAAAACCCCCAGAATTTCAAAACAAGATAATAGTAGGGTAACAATGGTTAATATTGATATTAATATTAATGGTTAATATTGATATTATTAATATTAATATTAATGGTTAATATTGATATTGTTATCTTTAAATTATTTACTCAGAGATAAGAGGTAGGCATTGAATTGTCCAAGCAATATTAGCATAAATCGTTCTTTTCAATGAACTAAGAGAAAGTAGTAGTATAACTATCTTTATATATATATATGTGGCTTTTCCCTTCCTTCTTTTCTCCTTTTCCCCATCCCAGTTTCTCTTTCCTTTTGAACAGTTTCTTCCCATTTTACAATATATACAGTGTTGTACATTTTTGATCTTATGTACTCTTTCAGCTTCTCACACCATGGAGACAATACGATGTTTGCACATGTGCATCTGGTATATTTCACTTATGAGCAAAAGTCTCTGGTTAATCCTTCTTTATGGCTGAATAGTAATCTACTGTATAAAAAGAACAGATTATTTTTATCCATTCAGTGGTTGATGGGCATTTGGGTTGTCTCCAAGGTCTAACTATTATACATTGTGCTGCTATAAACATGGGTGCACATATATCACTGTGGTATGATGTTTTTAATTCTTCTGGGATGATACCCAGCAGGGGAATAGCTGGGTCAAACGGGACCTCCTATTCTAGTTTTTGGAGGAATCTCTGCACTGATTTTCACAGTAGTTGTACCAGTCTACACTCCCACCAACGGTGGAGAAGTGCTCCTTTTCCCCCACTGCCCCTCCAGCATTTGTTATTGGTTGATTTCTTTTTTTTTCTTTTGATTTTTCTGTACCAGGAATCAAACTCACAACCTCATGCTTGCCAGGCAGGTGCTGTGCCGCTGAGCTAAATCCCCAGCCCCCTATTGGTTGATTTCTTGCTGACAGCCATTCTTCTTGGGGTGAGATGGAATCTCAGTGTTGTTTTAATTTACATCTCTCAGATGACCAGTGATGCTGAACATTTTTTCATATATTTATTTACTGTTTGTATTTCTTCATCTGAGAAATGCATGTTCATCATAGATGCCCATTTTTGTATTGGGTCTTTCAATTTGGGAGGTCTGATTTTTTTGTTCTTTACATGTTCTCGATAGTAATCCTTTGTCTGAGGAACAGCTGGCAAACATTTTTTCCAACATTGTGGGTTGTGTCTTCACTCTGTTGGTGGTTTTTCTTGCTGTGCAAAACCTTTTTAATAAGATGAGATCCCAGTTGTTGATTCTTTGTGCTAGTTAGTTCCTGTGCAACTGGAGTTTTATTCACAAAGTCTTTGCCTACACCAATGCCTTTTTTTTTTTTTTTTTTTTTTTTTTTTTTAAATAGGGTCTCGCGATGCAGTTCAGGCTGACCTTGAGCTCACTTTGTAGCCCAGGCTAGTGTCGAACTTGCAAAGATCCTCCTGCCTCAGCCTCCCGGGTGCTGAGATTACAGGCATGTGCCACCATGCCTGGCCCTGCCACACCTATGTCTTCAAGAGTTTTACCTATTTTATCTCCCAACAGATTGAGTCTTTCTGTTTTAATATTTAGATCTTTGTGGATCATGGACTTTTAAAGGCAGTTACCATCTATACATTTGGGGCTGCTTCTGGGTTAGTTTCTTGTCTGTTCCATATATATATCTAAGCGTTCAAGGGAAGATTTCATTAAGGTAATAGCTGAACACTTGACAGCAGTGAGGGATTGAAACTTGTGAGTATCTGGGGAAAAGAATTCCAGGCACTCTTGGCAGCAAGGGCAAAGGCCCTGTGGTAGGACAGGAGTGTGCCTGGTGTGTTTGTAACAGCGAAGACTACAGTGGGCATTGCAACCCGAAGAGAGCAGGGAAACAGTGCCTGACACACGGTGAGCTCTCTGTGGACACTGTTATTCTGATGGAGCTGTCATTTTAATTTGTTCTCTCTTTTCTCCCCGTGCCAGGAGCCGCAGCAGGATGATGAGAAGGGCTGAAATGTTGCTGACTCAGGTCCTTTTCTGATGGTGGCTGGGCTGGGTGGAGCTGGGGAAGGTGCAAAAGGAAATATACAACCTGCCTCCCCTGGACGTGGCCTGGCTGCATCTGCTGTCGCTGCATGCCTGACCGAGGCTTGCAGAAGCCACCTGCTGCAGGGATCCGGGCACCTCCCACGTCTGGCCCGGGGGTAAGGGGTAGGAGGGAGGGAGAGGAAGGTCAGTGTTGTGGTTGGGGCCTTAAGTGTCCTCCACAGGCTCATACACAACAGGCGTGGTGGCCCCAGACTCTGGTGCTCTAGGTAGTGGCATCTTTAACAGGTGAGGCCTAATGAGGGAAGCTGAGTCATTGGGGGTGCCCAGAAGGGGACAGTGGGACCCCAGCCCTTCCCCTCTCTTTGCTTCCCCGCCACCATAGGGCAAGCCGATGTCCTCTGCCACACACTCCCTCCACAGACCCAAAGCAACAGGGCCCACTGGCCATGGACTAAAATCTCTGAAGCCGTGAACCAAAAGCAATCTTCCTTATAAGCTGATGTCTCAGGTATCTTGTCAGAGTGATGGGGAGCCGACTGCCAGCTTGGAGTCTGAGGCTAGCCCTCTCGCTCCTGCTGGTCTAGCCTTAGCCCCTCATGCTCTCAAGGCCAGCTTGTTTCTTTGGTGGATTCTTCCTTTCTCAGGTCCTGGTTCAAGATGTATTTAGAAAAATTCCCACCTTATTGGCATTTTTAGGGGCTGTGATAACAACAGGGATTGTGGCAAGTCTTAAATCCTTTACAGTTTAAACTCCACAGCATCCCCAAGCTCCCTTCTACCCAGTAGATCTTGGAGTCCCAGTGTGGGGAGCAGATCTAGGACCTGGAGGGGGCATTTGTGCAGTCAGTGGATATTTATGGGTTCCCTGCTCTGCTCAGGCACTGTGGGGTCCCTGGGCACATGCTCCTTTGTGAGCTCATGAAAGAGGGTGTTCTGATTTCTCCCTCCAAC